AATTTGGTTTCTGACCCCGTCTGCGAACAGAAACAACTTTAGTGACCTTTGGCAGGCCCAACTGTGATTCCTGTGGGTTTTTCGGGCTTCTTGGCCGTGTTCTGAAACTTTGGTGACCTTTGGCAGGCCCAACTGTGATTCCTACCCCTGCCTCACCTCCCTTTAGACTACAGTGGACCCTCTACTTACGGAATTAATCCGTATCGGAACGGTGGCTGCAAGTCGAAAAGTCTGTAGATCGAATCTCCATTGACCTACAATGCATTGAAAACCAATTAATCCCATAACTGGCAGTTTTTATTCTATTTTTGTTCCATTTTGGTTTTTTTCTGGTCTGTAAGTCGATTCTCCGGCTGCAAGTCGAATCTAAATTTTGCGGCCAGAGAAGTCTGTAACTCGAAAAGTCTGTAAGTCAAGCCATCTGTAAGTCGAGGGTCCACTGTAGTTCCTTTTTTTTCAAATTAGAAGTTCACATCTGGGTGAAGGGGGGAATTGTTTTGTTTTTACAAAAACTCTTTTGAGCCAAATCAAGGTTTTAGAGAAGAATCAGCACTCCTGGGGTGGTAATTCCTGGAATGTTGACTCTCCATTCAATCAGCACTTACTGTGTGTCTGGACATGGCTGCATCACCAAAAAGGGCAGCTGAGCCACAAGCAGTCCATGCAGCATATGTTACGGTATCAATTCTTGTTTTAGGGGGATAATTTATGCCAGGGAATGGATGAAGGACAGCATAACTCTGTTAGTTTTGGTGGTCCTCTCAATGGCCTTCAGTGGTAACATCCTCTTAGGTTCTCTAGCTGAGTTGAATCTTAGGATAATGTCAGCTCTGTCTCACTGAGGGGCAGTTTCCGTCCCTGTTTCTTCTGGCTTTTGGGGGTGCTGCTCACATGCATATTAACAGGTACATGAAGCTCTTGAAGAAGGAGCTGCAAAGGTGGGAAAAGAAAATACAGACCATAATGCAACACCTTCTTGTAAAAAGCACACTAAGAACTACTTTGTATGAACACATCACGGAGGAAGCCGGATCACCTAAACTAGAGGAAAGGGCACAGGAAGATGGGCTCTTACAGTACCTTCTATAATAATAAAATAACCTTAGAACTGTAGAGCTGGAAGGAACCTTATAATTAAAAAAATGAAGAGCTCAGTAGATGGACAATAGATGCAGAAGATTCAGTAAGAATGGTGGCGTTTCGCAATAGCAATAATATTGATAGTCCATCATCTTAAACTATCACATTTTAAACATATTTCCTTTGAGTTCTGTTAGGAGATATTGATAGTCCATCATCTACTATCACATTCTAAACATATTTCCTTTGAGTTCTGTTAGGAAACATTACAAGTACTTTTATGCTTCGTGCCACAACAATGTGAGAGACTAATAAAGTCATATAGAAGACAATTACTTCAAGTTATTGCTGCTAACAGTGGTTCTACAAGCTATTGAATCATTTATTTATTTATTTACAAGATTTTTTAGCCGTGCCATTACCAGTGGTCTCTGAGCAGCATACAACAATATTAAAAATTTAAAAACATCAAAAACGTTAAAAATAGGTAATATTATAATAATGCCCTATATTAAAAACAGTCATTAAAACATTAATATTAATAAATCCTGCTGCTCATATGGCCAGCTGAAGAATACTATTTAATTAAATGCTGGCTAAATAGATAGGTCTTTGCCTAGTGCCGAAAAGCCAAAAGTGTTGGAGACAGGAGGATCTCTATAGTATAAGGAGGGCATTCCAACGTTGGGGGGAAGGCCCTATTTCAACATGCCATCCCCCTCACCTCTTTCAGGGATGGCACCTTCAGAAGGGCCTCCTGGCCTGATCTTAGAGGACAGGCAGGCTTGTATGGAAGAAGGCAATCCTTTAGGTAAGCAGGTCTTAAGCTGTTTAGGGCTTTATATGTCAAAGTAAGCACTTTAAATTGGGCCTGAGCAGCAACCAGCAGCCAGTGTAAATTTTTCAGAACCAGTGTGATATGAGTCCATGCGGAGACACCACTTGCCAGCCGCGCAGCCCGGTTCTCTGCCAGTTGCAGTTGCCAGACCGTCTTCAAAGGCCGCCTCACATATAGCACGTTGCAATAGTCCAGTCTGGTTGTTACCAGTGCATGTGTGATTGTTGCCAGGCTCCACTAATTCAGGAAACTGAGGGTGAAGTTGATATATTCTCCGGAGCTGTAAGAAGGCACCCCTGGACACTGAGTCCACCTCATTCCAAGGTCAGACCCGGGTCAAGGAGCACCCCCAAGCTGCGGACCCTGTCCTTTAGGAGGAGTGTAACCCTGTCTAAGGCAGGGAAGTAGCCCTTTAGCCTATCTGGCGGAGCACCTACCAGCAGCACTTCCGATTTGTTTGGATTGATCATCGGGTCATAACAACTGAAACTCATCCAATAAATTATGACATAAGTCCAGAGGACTGGACACAACCATAGGCTCTGCATCAATAGTGGAGTCCAAGTCTTTGCGAATCTGAGCAATTTCCCCCTCAAAGTGTGTGACAAATTCATTACAGTGAGCCACTGAGCAGTCCGGGACCTCCACCGAACCATTAGAATGAAGGTGGTCCCGACCACTCGAAATAGCTCTGCTGGACGACACACTGAGGAAGCAATACAACTGGAGAAATGCTAGTGTTTCGCCAGCCGTATCGCCGCAGAGTAGTCTTGATAATGGGCTCTAAGCTGTGTTTGGTCATAGTCGCAGCAATATTTCCTCCATCTGCACTCAAGCTGTCTCTCCAACCGCTTCATAGCCAGAATCATAAGGTGTACAGTATTTAATTTTTCACACATGGCTTCTCTATTTTGGCTTTATTTTTGTTAAATAAATCATGGCACGGTGTAATACGTCATGTGTTTTTGTTCCTCTGAGATTGTATTTACCTAATTTTCAGACCTGCTAAAGATCAGATGATTTTTATTATGTCTTGATACATAAAACCATAGAATTCAAAGAGGATGTGTTTTCTTTTTCACATGACTGTGCAGGAAACAGCAGATACAAATGAAGCTGGGTAGGATTTTAAATTTTATTTCAAGTATTTCTACTTCAGTAGTAATCACAGATCAATTTTAACATTGCCTGTCAATGTGCAGCTAAATTGCACAGTTAAAATGGAAGATCAAAATTTCTCTGATCTTTACATTTCTAAAAATCATAAACAGCCTCTCCATTCCAGTTCCAGCAGCTATCTTTCATGGTCTGCTCTTGCCTGTATTTTCCTCCTTTTGCATGTCGTTAATATGACACATAAAGAGAGTAAGACGTATTATTCACTTATTTTGCAGGCTTCTAAGCCACTTTCCCAAAGGTGTTCACAATGTATAACAACATCATAGACTGTAAAGGCAAACACCAGTTTTAAAATTTTAAACAATTTTAAACGGAGCCATATAAATCCTTCTATTTTTAATTGTGTGCCTCGAGTCCATTCCACTGCCCCTCAAGAACCGTTCCTGTTTAATTTGCAGCTTGCACTAATTTCAACGGATCCCACTTGTGAACCGGCGCCCACAGCTCCCCACCGTTTCTTTAAAATCTTCAAAGACCTTTGGCGGCTTCCCTTGGACATCCTTATGAAGGCTTTCTTTCGCAACTAATCGCAAGGAAGGCAAACCCAATACCCAATCCAACACTTTCCTATCGCCTTTAAGTTCCACCTCCTTCCTTCCTTCCTGAAGTGACGTCACCTAGTGGGCGGTACCTTCCCGTAGGGAGCTCCGCCTTTCTCTCGAGCGAGGGGAAGAGGCTAAAGCATGCTTGGATTGGATTAACCCTCTCGCTTCCCGGTACAGTCGTTTGGTCACGTACAGACACAGACCCTTTCTTCCCCGCCCCGTCTGTTCCGTTGGGCTTCTGGGCGGGCGCTGGTCCTCTCTCGCGCGCCCCCCCCCCGTCCTTCCACCCAGCCTCCTGTCTGTCTGTCTGTCTGTCTGTCGAAAACGGTTAGGCGCGAGGCCTCAGCCTGCTGCCTCGCTCTCTTCCCTTTCCTCTCGTAGCCCTCGGGCCTGATCTTAGGGTGAGGCGGGCACCCGCGCGGGTGAAGGGGAAAGGGGCCGACGACAAGAGTCCCGAGTGCTGAGGGGCGAGCCACTGTCACTCGCGGGTCGGAGGATGATTGGCAGCCAGCACTTCAGCGCCAGCAAAGCCCCCCCCCCGCGCTGGTGCGTCGTTGGCGCTTGTAAACACCCTCGCCTGGGCCAGGCCCCGCTAGCCCGCTAGCCCGCCGTTTAAGGGCGCTCACCTGGCTGGCCGTTCCTGCCGGGCAAAGCCTGACGCCGTGCGTGGTCCCGGGTCTCTGAGGTGGGTCCATGTGAAGCCTTTTGGCACGCCTCTCTCTGCGACTAACGTGTTTATCCTATTCTTCCTGGCGAATTGCCTGTCGCTCTCCCCCCCCCCCCCCCCTTTTGTTCTATGCGTGTTTTNTTCCTTTTTTTTTTTTTTGAAGGCGAGTGTTTTGCAAACCCCCCCCCCGACCCGCTCCCCTCTCTTGTCAAAGTGGCCGTGGCAGTGCCGTGGAGTGTCCGGGGCCGAACCCACGTTCCCCAGAGAGCGAGTGCTGGTGCGCTATCGAGAGGACGAGAGAGTAGCCTCTCTCCTTGCTTGGGGGGTCGGGGGGTGGGGAGTGCAATGAGGACTGGCAGGGTGAGCGAGGGGCAGCTTACATGTTCTGTTCCTTGGCTGCTATGGCGCTTGATCTAAGCTGCTGTACTATCTAGACAGACAAATGGTAGGGAAAGAGCCCATATCCTTGTATGGAGCAACTGTTAAACTTTCGCTTAAGTTCATTCTGGACAACTCTTACTGTTTGTTCTGTCACTTAAAGAGGTTGAACACGCAAAACCAAGAGCAGCTTCCCTCTCCTTTTGCTCACCCTCTGAGCTACTTCAGTCTCCCTCCCAGATGGACTGAACAAGTGCAGTAATTGTTTTTGGTGGGTGCACTTGCAGCTACTAATCAGACACTTTTCTGGGTCATCAGGCAACAGCTGCCATCTCCTTCTGGGTGGTAACAAGAGGAGGAAATGTTACAAAGTAGAATTGGCACCCACCTGAGTTGGAGGCAAAATCTCCAAGACCACCTGATGGTATCATTGGGCCCTTTTGAGATTCCAGGATGTCAGCCTTTAATCTCAAAAGTACCCCATCTTGATAATGTATATACGTATTAGTTAGTAGGTTTTTATTATGATGTATGTTATATTATTGTATTTTACTACTCATGAAAGCCACCCCAAGTAGACTTTGTCTAGAGGGACGGGGTATAAGTTCAATAAAAGTAAAAGTAAAGTAAAAGCAGTTGCTAGAGAGTGTCAGTTTGACTCCAACCTGCTTGAGTGCTGTTTACCTACTTCTGTAGCTGTTCTTAAATGTATGTGCTACATCTAGAGCTGTCCCCCACTGGCTGGCTTCCATCCATTGTTATCAATTACTATAAACCTGAAGGACTCCCCACTTTGCTGTCTACTTGTCACCAATGTTTAGCCCATACAAACATTGTGACAAGTTGCAAATAACATGCTATACTTTCGGCAAGTATGGACTGTTTTTTGGTCCAAAATCTGGTTATGGTAGGAGTTTGTATCTCATAGAGTTGTGAGCTGATGCCCTTTTGAAATACTGATAAATTTCTTCTGTTGTTTTCGCTCATTAGCCAAGCTGATACTGATGGAAATTGTAATTCAACATCTTGACATACCTCAGCCCAGATGTTGTGGTTCATAAACTTTCATTAGAGTTTACAAGCTGTCTTTTCTGTTCCTGAAGATTGCTTTGACCAGTCTGATAACAGAGTGTTCTTGACTGAGAACTGTAATCGTTTAAATCCACTTCCCTTTCTTGACCAATTTACTTCCCACAAAGTGGACATTAACAGATTGTTTTAGGTTTATACCCTTTCTTCTCTTTGTATTTTGGATAATCTAATTTCTTTTGATTTTTACAGATTTTCCCCCCAGGCAAAATCAACATATGCAGTAACCATTTTCCACCATCTGATGGCTTGCATATGTATTGGACTACATGTCTCTCTTCATGGCCAGCCAGTCTAGTAGGCCATTTGCAGTCAGTAAATTAGGATGACATAAGTTATTGTCCAACCTATCTGGAGGGCCTTAGATTATGGAAGGCTGGTCTAGGATTATCAAGTATCAGATGCTCTCTCTGGTTCATACTCCCCATCACAACCATTGTCTCTATTAGGCCAGAATCCCATTGGTGTTCTCATAAGACTTGTGTAACTTACTGTGGCTAATAGTAGTGGAGGTGCACATTTTGGTGACATGCCAGATTGCAGAAGTGAGATGTATCAGAGCACTTTATCAATTAAGTACAGTTAGCCATAGCAAGCCAATAAGTATACATAAGTACAGACCTGTTGACTGATGCTTGTAAGAGAGAAATGCCACTGTCCAGGATAAGTTTTAAAAAGGCAAATTCGCCTTAACAATTAAGTCCAGCTGTGTCTCTAGAGAACAGTGCTTATCCCTGTTTGTAAACTGAAGAGTCCGTGTTTGTCCATAGATACTTTCTGTGGTTATGTGGCCAGCATAACTAGACATGGAATGCCGTTACCTTTCCACCAAGGTGGTACCTATTGATCTAGATTGCATGCTAGATTACTAATGACTGAGTGAAGATTTCAGTGTTCCAGGACACTGTCTCTGACCTCAGGCTTGCCATGTTTAATCAACACTTCAAGGACAGTTTCCAGTGAGAAATACCTGTGCAAGGACTATTTGAGAGTTTCTACTCTGTTGCCTGTGGTTTGGTGATGGGTAGAGGCTTCTTATAATATTAAATGAGTTAATCCACTGTTAATCCGTGCAAGGATACCAGTATTCTTATCAACTATTGTTTTTTAATAAACATGGTTTAGATAACTATTAGAGATAGTCTTTTCACATCTTTGTTACCTCTAACTCCACTGAGTAGTGCATAAGAATTCATTAAAAAGATCAGCTCTATGATCTGCATAGGGCAAAGGCACATCACACTGTATGTGTTCTTTAGCTTCTTAAATGTTACCATTTAACTATGATTTGTTAATTATCACTGTTTAATAGTGACCAGTGTTTTTATGTTTCATTCCTTTTTCACACCGCTGATCACATCCGCAAATTATCTACCCAGATATGTATGAATATCTGCCAACTAATGTAGTGCTCATGCATCTGATGGAATGTGTTGCACTCTTCAGGTGAAGATATTAGTAAGCATTGGCCAAACTTTTATTAAGAAAAACCATGGATGTGAAGGTAATTGCAAAATGTTTTCCCCCTTTCTCTGTAGCTGCCTCTTGTATTTCAAAGCACAAAACAATGCGTTTAACCCTATGAAACAGAGAAGCATGGTGGCCAGTCAGTAACACAGGTTCAGATTCACAAGTGCTTATTTATGAGAATTCAGTAGGATTGAATAGTGAGACAAAGTTATGGTAACCAATTTATTGAAATGTTCTGAACATTTATTGAAATGTTCTGATTTCATTTCTACAATATCCAGGCCTCCATAGGTACATATTTTAGTTCAGATTCCTTAAGTTCATTTAGAAAATTGAAAATATAATAAATTGAATATATGTTCATGATCTGGAGATTCGAGACTGCCTGAATAATAAGCATATCTAAAAAAGTTGATGGACTGTAGTAATTCTACAATTATTTACTGTTTTTCCCTTGGCAATTTAGAACTGTTTTAGAAGACATATCATCATTACTTTCAAGTGCCAAGAGTTCTTTCTTTCTTTCTGGATGAATTCTTATGTAATAATTATTGGATATTTTTAACATTTGCTTCAGACGTTCCTTGTGATTACATTTTAATAAGACCTAACCTTAAATCTTCATAATTTTAATGCCATATATGTTATTAGTTTTTCTTTTATTGGAACTTCATTTCTGCATATACTTCAAATAATATGCTTGTGTAATGTCCTTATTAAGCTACAATGTTATATGAATGAATGAGTGAGTAAGAGGTGTAGCACTAGTAATAAATAGACCTTGGGCATGCAGTAGAGTGAAACATGTGCAGAACCTTGATGGGATGGGGTAAGACGTTCAGACTGAATGTTGGGATGAAAGGACATCCATTGAAGGAAGTGAAAAGGGCATGATGGTAAAGTGAAGTGGTGAGAATAGAAGATATTTTTCACAGTCATTTTGTTCAGCATAGAGAGCAAATACATGGCATAAGAATGAAAGAAGAGGAGTTTGAAGATGTGCGTATGAGAAGTTAGACCTGTAAATAATAATTCTACAGGAATATAAAATATAGGAATAGCATGGATAGTTGTCAGAGAATTGAAGTTTATGATTGCCTCAACAGAAAGCATCATTGTTTATTTGTTTAATTTGGATGGAGAAGGGTATTATCAGAGGAAATGTGAAGTATTTATTAATGCAGAGATATTGGTTGTCACTATTGACCCAGAGCTTGTCACACACACACTTATAACAGCAGGGTTGTTATAAGGATAAGAAGAGAGACATATACACCACTTGGAGCTCATTGGAAGAAAGCAGAATATAAATATAACAAATAAATAATACTAAATCTGATATATTTGTGATCTGTCATAATTATATACAGCATGTTTCTCCATGTACTCAAAGTGACTTACAACTGAAATGAAGAGTCGCATAGTCTGTTGGAAAATAGTGATAAAGAAGAATCTCTTTAAGACACAAAATGCTCTTTAAGAACAGAATATATGTTTACTACTGATTACTACTTTTGCATTAAAGTGAATTAAAGTAGAAAATATTGTTCAAAATTATTTTAAAAGTTATAATCAAAAGGGAATGGCTTAGTGTAGCAATCTTTCAGTGAACTCAGTGCCTGCTTTGAACTTAGAACTGCAGAGTTGGAAAGAATCCTATGGATCATCCAAGTCCAGCCTTCCCAGGGAGTCACAGAAAGAGATATGGGTGAGCAGTATTTGCTTCAGTGGCAACAATCTTTTTGGGGAGGTACTGACATTGCCTTATAATAGTAGGCCTTCACCAAATGCATCCCCAATAGTTGACTAAGTCATTCAGTTATTTACTATAAATAAAGACAAAACAAAAGATACAGGGTATGTAATAAACTTAGTTTAAAACATTTTAGAAACTCAGTAAAAACAAAACATACATTAAAACCATTAAATTTATTACTTCTACTGCTTAGACTGGATTACAGTTCAAACTGGACACCTCAAGAAGCAAATCATAATTCAAGTTTTATTAAAACAATGAGAATTTAATGTGATACTTATGATGATGGAATGAGTTGTCTGCACTGTTAGGTACGAATGCTATATAAGTAACAGTTGATGAATCTGCACAAACCACTGTCCATTTTTTCTTTCTTTTTACTCTTCGTGAAAATTATCTGTATTGGGTGAAATTCGGCTGCCAGAAGAAAAGCATTTTTATTTCCTTTACTACTCAGATCAGTTAAGGCTGCAGTTCTGGATATGCTTACCTGGGACTAAGCCTGATTGAACTCAGTTCAGCTTTGTTATAAATAGAGATGTTTAGGATTGCACTATCTGTATCTTAAAAGTTACAAAGCTGAAATGATAAAAGATGCTGTTGCAGTGTTGAAATCATCCCTTTCAAACAGACAGCATTTAGTCCATGCTTTTGTAAATGTCTCTTACACATATGCTGTGTCTATTTTAAGACAGATTTCGTCATCCTTGTTGCAGACTCCAATAGGTTATAGGCATTGCTTCTCTTTCCAATGAAGATAAACAGCTAAGAAAAAGATTAATTTGAGGAACCTTCTGACTCATAAGTCTGTACAGAAGCATATTGTGCAAATTTAATGTGATTCTGGGGGTACTGAGGCAATTTGAACACACATCTTTGCATTTTTAAAAATTACTTTATTAAAAAGTGAATTCCATGTTTTTTTTCTGTTAACAAAAAAATTACACATGGATATACTGTATTGTAGTGAGAAAGAATTTGATCTGTAGCTGTTTAAAGTATAGATTATGTTTTAAAATATTTCCCATAATACTTACAATGTTTTATGTTAATATTTCTGGGTGATGCAAAATAGTGTAGTTTTTTAAAAAAACTACTTGGCTTTTACAATCTTGTTTCCCTTTGTATTAGTTATTCCAAGTTTTTTCAAGCATTTTCCTCATTCTTTCTAGTTAAAGTATTTTTAACTTACAGTTTTATCTAGTTTATTATTAAATCTAGATTATAAATTATATCTATAATTATAAGTATGAAATTTCCCTAGGCTATACAGTATTTAACATCTTATTCCTCCTACCACCACCTCCATCAATAAGTGACATGCCTTCAAAGGTTTTTAACTAGAGTTTGTTACTAAAGTTATGAAATGCGGTTCCTTCAGAAATACATTTTGGCATTTAACAGATATGTACTGTATTTTGTTGAGTAGTAAATTATATGCAGATAAGGATGGTCCAGGAATGTTGAACCTGCAGAGAATGCTTTATAGCTTGTCATTCCTAAGACGTTTACCAAAGATGTTCCTTTGCGTTTCCATTCAGCCAGGCTTTTCAGCACGCCCCATTAAAAATCCCCCCCCATTCTGAGGCACCCAGAAGCATCCAGAGAGCAAAAGGGAGCCCTCGGGAGCCTTTGAAGCTGAGACAGAGGGGTAGAAAGCATTAAATTAATTTAAATTAATTTTTATGATGCCCCATTCTGGTTTATGCCAGTGGAATGGCACCAGCAGAATTTTTCGCATTAAGAGTTAATACTGGTAAGAGAATGAACAAAGGGCTGGTGTGATCCTGGAGATTATATAAGTGCAAGGTGATTTTATTGGACCATTAATTTTTTTAAAAGTAAGCTTTTGAGGATGAAATCCACTTCCTCAGGCTCTATGTAGACCCCCTTCATGGATGGTATGGAAAAATTACATACAGTATCTGGCAGAGATGATGAGTTCTTGTGAGGCTGGGCCCCTTACTGTCTCTGTGGCAAGGTTTGGACTTTTTACCCCCTGGCTCTTGAGAAGTATTATTTTATTTTATTTTATTTTAATTTATTTATTTATTTATGGCCAGCTTACAACATTTAAAATACAATAAAAATTCAGAACAATTACAATACAATTAAAATATATATAAAAATTGCCATCAGACCCACAGCTAATATTATTTCAGTTAAAAGCCTTCTGGAACAGGAAGGTTTTGACCTGGCGCCGAAATGTTATCAGCGTCGGCGCCAGACGAATCTCAGTTGGGAGGGCATTCCATAGTCTGGGGGCAGCTGCCAAAAAGGCCCTTTGTCTACAAGCCGTCCCTCTTACCTCCTTAAGGGACGGCTCTTTCAAATGGGCCCCCTGGCTAGATCTTAACTGCCGGGTAGGTTCGTATGGAAGGAGGCGGTCCTTCAGGTATCCAGGGCCCAAGCCGTTTATGGCTTTATATGTCAAAACAAGCACTTTGAATTGGGCCCGGGCAGCAACTGGTAGCCAATGTAACAATCGGCTTGATATGTTCCCTGGTGGCGGCACCACTCACCAGACGCGCAGCTCGATTCTGGACTACTTGCAGTCGCTGGACTGTCTTCAAAGGCAGCCCCACGTAGAGCGCATTGCAGTAATCTATGCGGGATGTTACCAGTGCGTGTGTAACTGTCATGAGACTCCACTCATCCAGGTAGGGCCGTAGCTGGTACAATTTCCGCAGCTGAAGGAAGGCGCCCCTGGCCACCGTGTCCACCTGGGCTTCCAGTGTTAGACTGGGGTCCAGGAGCACCCCAAAGCTGCGGACCCAGCGGTTTCATGTAGATGTTGAACATCATGGGGGACAGTATTATAGCTTTTTTCTGGTGTATCTTTTTCTGAAAATAATGCAAGAAGGAAAATGATTACAGTACATGTGGTAACATAAACCAGGTGTTGTATTGAGAGAGACCAGATAGCCCTGGGATGATGAGGTGATGACTTTCCATTCAGTTAATCCAAACTATATGGGCTAGAATTAAGTGTATATTCTGAAACAAGAATTTGATCAGGAGGAAATGATCCCTTAAACAGAAACCACCAATATCTGTTTCAGAAGGCTCGGAAACCTAGGGTGTATGTTATGGAGGGCTGGGAAGAAGAGGGAGAACAGAAAAGCACACTCTTGAAGGCATTTATGGGCTTTACAGGGAGGGAAGCTACTTCTTCTTGGATATAGGTTTTTTTTTAACCTCCATGTATGCCTCCAATTGATTTCTCCCCTTTGAAACAATGTTAACTGTATTATATGGAGTTTTATTCTAGATTAATTTTTAAATTATAATTTTGTGTTGCAACTATAACCTAGTTTTAAAATTTTGTTTTGCTTTGTTTTTTGCTCTCCCAAGGAGGAAATTTTATGGAAATCTGTTTCTGACAGCTATACATACAAAAGCATAAAGACTGTCCTTACTAAATGGATATACAGAAGACAATTGTACATTTTGGTGGTGTAGACTAAATGTTTTCTTCATCCTTTTTCTGTTCTGGTAAGTGTTCTGTATTGGGAAGTTTTGTTGTTATTTTTTACACCAGGGAACAGGGAAGGGAAACAGTGATAAAATATTCTAAATTTTACAGGTTCCCTTTATGTATTGATGTATATTTTGATGTTTATTAGATTTTAGCTCAGATACTCAGCTCTCGGAAAGACCCAATATGGTGTTGTCAGTATTCAGAAAAATTGATAGGTTGCTGTAATGATGAAAGAAGAGCAAGAAAAAAATACCTCAAAGATTGCCAAGAAAGTGAAAGTATGATTGAAAAAGTACTTCATGAAGAGATAGTTCACATTAGTTTATAATTTTTCTAAATGATTCTGATCACCCAGCTTGTATGATAAAAGTGCTACTAATAAGATAGCTTGGCAGAAGTATTTAATTCACTACCCTAGTTTTCTCAAGAATGAGTAAACAACTTTGAATACCACGTGGGTTTTTTTCAGTTCTTAACTCAAATCTAAGTACTTAAGTCAAGTCAATATTTCCCTATGAGAGCAGTTCTTAAGTCAAAATGTTCTTAACTCGAGCCATTCTTAAGTCAAGACCCCACTGTAATGTGAAAAGAGAATGTGAAACTTAAAAGGAATGAAATGTAATAAATAAAAAACATGGAGAAATAACCCAAATCAATCAGGGATGGCCTGGTTGGTTTAAGAAAAGTAACAAATGTCATTGCTAAATTGCTACAGTGACATGGTTCCCATATATTGACATTTAATGGGTAACTGGTGTAAATGCACATGCTTGCTATCAGAGGTAATGATGTATGAATTGTTTATTCTTATAGGCAAAAAGAGAAAAATAAACAAAACTTCAAAGCAATAGGCACTGCAAAGAAGGGGGTTATCTACTGCTTCATAACGAGATAGGTAAACAAAGATTAGAATATAAATAGCAGTTGTTTCTCACAATCCCATTTGAAGAATCAGGAGAAACAACATCTGCAAGAGACAAAAATAATAGAGTGCATATCACAAACAGATACAAGGAACTGGAAGATCAATAATGGATTTTACTTAGACATTTAACTGTACTTTGGCTGATTTGGGTGAGAATAGCTTGTATTGATTTTGTATGTGGCTTAACATGCTTAGAGGCTGAGAAATGGTTTTCATTTTATATTTTCTCTTTTTGAGAACTTAAATAATATCTTCATGTATTTTAAAGTAGGCTTTTATAGCTTTCGAAGTTTATAATATTTTAGTTTTTTAATGTTTTAGAGATGTATTCTCTGCCCTTTGGGGCCATAAGCTACTTTATTCTATATGAATTTTATTCTAACTACAATTGAAACTTTGAGTGTCTGCAACTGTTCATAGTTGTGAGACTGGATTTTAAATTATGTGCCTACAGTTTTACATAACTGTAAGACTTTTGGATTTTAAGTACCTATAGTTTTTCTTATAACTGTGAGAAGTTTGGATGTTATAACAGTTCTGAAGTCATTTTATGATATGCAACCTAGAAGCTGTGTAGGAATAAAAGGCTTTCAGAAGCTTAACAAGTTTGGAATTGCCTGGAATTGCTGTAGCAAAGAAAATATTTATATTTAAGGTACCCAGATGAATTTTGAGATGCTTGTGAATGACTGTCTGATTTCATTCTGAGATTAACCCTTTATTAGGATAATATCAGCTGTGACAAACCATAGGCTTCTGTGATTTGCCCTGCCTTCTATGCAGTCTTTCAACAGGTTTGATCCAGGGCTTTGGACCACAGTGATCTGTTAGTTGACTTATTAATTACATATGATATTCTAGAGTCGCATAGCTATATGATTTGCTATGTCAGTTTTTTTAAACATTTCCAAAGACACTTCCCAAAATCTTTTAGTAGCAATTCCTACATCTCCTTTGTTGAATAGGTATTGTCATGATCCATGTGGCCCCTGTTTGTTTCACCAAACAAAGGAGCCTATTCTACGTGCCCCTCAGCTGCCATCAGTTGATTTCATCAACAATACATTATTAATGATAGATGTTCAGGTCATATGTCATTTTAAAAGAACCAAATAGAAATTGCTTGTCCTTTATCTACCCTCAACCAAGATTTTCTCACTCAAACTCCAAAACTCAACTCTCTAACACTCTCCTTCTCCATCTCAAAACCCTATGTAAACCTGATCTCTCCTCCTCCTCCTCCTCCTCCTGAGTCTCTTATACCTTGTGACTCTGCCCCTCCAGCACTCCCATTGGTCTGTGCAAATAGCATATGATTCATAATGACCTGGGCAACCACCACAGGTATCTTAAGATATCAACATAATATTTTTCTGAATTGAGCCCAGAATTATTATACTGATAATAATGTGGTGTTCTTTCACCATCTGAGGGTGATGTGTGGTCAGCTTTACCTGCAGAGTTTAGCATTAAGATAATACAAGGTGATGTGCTAGAACACTAATAGCTGTTTGTTCAAGTTTTGTTGCATTTTTATCTGTTAATGTATCACTGTAAAACTGACCAGGCATAACAAGCCGAAGAAAGATTTGTTATTTAAATTGTTTGAACAATAACTGCAGTTTATTTTTTTCTATTTTTATTCAGGTGCCTGAATTTTTGTTAAGATGTTCCACAAAGAGTTAATGCATGCATCTTGAAGATACTTGACCTTCAGCAAAATTATTAATACCTATTTGGATGTCACCAGCATTCCCCATGTTAACAGTTCTGAGCATGTTTTACTATATATGTCTTCGGCGCCGAGCCAGGACTGCTACAAGGGGAGAAGTGATGAGCAATAGAAGAGCCATTGAATCTAATAGAACCTTACCCATCAATGTTGAATTAGTCCAATATGCCAAAGAAGTGCTGGATTTCAGTTCTCATTATGGCAGTGAAAACAGCATGTCATACACCATGTGGAATTTGGCTGGAACTCCAAATGTGTACCCCAGCTCTGGTGACTTTACACAGACTGCTGTATTCAGGACATATGGCACATGGTGGGAATGTTGCCCTAGTGCACGAGCACCTTTTAAAAGGACGCCACCCAGTTTCTATAGCCAAGACTATGTCGAACTTGCATTTGAGGAGCCAGTTTATCCTACAGCAATAAATATTCTGGAAACATATCATCCTGGTGCTGTTGTTAGGATTTTGGCATGTTCTGCAAGTCCTTATTCCCAAAACGTGCCCAGTGAAGTAAGGTAATTCACTTTATTAATTCTTTTTTCCTTTCCTTGAAAATGGGGTGTTAAAATGTTTATGTTGGAATGTAACCTGTTAGAAAATCTGGATAAAGCATTGTTCTTACGGTTTTTCCCCCTTCTTACAATCGAGGCTGATTGAAAAAGCAGAAAAATCATGGTTCATTCAGATCTTATTTGGGTAATGCTGCATATTTGAATTCTTTGAGTACAGAAGAAATATAAGGTACAATGGTGCCTTGACTTACAAACGTCCCTACCTATGACCATTGCAAGTTACGACCAGCTCCGGACGGAAAATTTTGCTTCTACTTGCGACCGGAGCTTCGAGTTATGAACAGAAAAGGGCAGGAAATTCAAATTGCTAACTGTAGGTGGCGACGAGGCTGCTTCTTTGTAGCTCTCTGTTTTCTGCTGTTTAAAAACTGTTCTCGGTGCTTTTGCAGCGTGGTTTTCAGTTGGTGGGGGGTATGTTTCTCTGCTGTGATGGGTCTTGGGGGGTTTGGTTGCTTTTTGGAGTTTCCCCCCCATTTCCGATGGGTCTTGGGGGGTTTGGTTGCTTTTTGGAGTTCCCCCCATTTCCGATGGGTCTTTAGGGTTGGTTTATTTGTTGGTGCTTTGCTTTTTCCTCATTTCCGATCTGTTTTGCATGCTTCACTTGCTTTTTGCATTGCTTTTTCCCCATTTCCATCTGTCTTGCATGCTCTGCTTCCTTTTCTATTTCACCCCCTCCCTTCGGCCGGAAGGAATTAATCATGTTTCTGATGGGTCTTGCAGTGATTTTTTTTGTGTGTGTGACTTTTTCTTCATCCAGAACAAATTAATTGCATTTCAATGGAAAAAGGTGCTTTGACTTACGACCGTTTTGACTTAGCCCATCTTCTGGAACGGATTAAGTTCGTAAGTCGAGGCACCACTGTATTGCCCAAGTGTGACATGAATCTTTGTTGATACAGGTTGAGGTATCAATGAATCACTAAATGGCATGAAATGTAGCAACCTTCAAGTGTATAATGTCTGAAATATTGATTAAAATATTTAATGGCTGAAATCCTGTTAGCATAGCCATTTTTCAGAAATAAAGCATTTCTGATTCCCCATGGCATCCCTTTCATCATGGGGAAGCCATTGGGGCCACAGAACAGGGAAAGGTTCTTAGTTTCCTAAAATTCCTACCATTGGTAAAGTAATCTGTGTAGTAGTGATTTTCAAACTTAAAACACTTGCTTCAATACTGTTATCCAACATATTTCCCATGAGAAAGGGGGAAGACCTTTGGGGGTAGGGTTGAAATGTTTTATATTTGAAAAATTGCCAGAGTTGCACAAGCAAGATTTCAAGTGCTGCTGCTGCTGCTGCTGCAATAATAATAATAATAATAATAATAATAATAATAATAATAATAATAATAATAATAATAATAATAATAATAATAATAATAATAATAATAATAATAATAATAATAATAATAATAATAATAATAATAATAATAAAACACAGACTTTGTGGGCTGAAAAAAGTCACTGGTAGCTTCATCATTTAAATAATAGAAACATTTGTCCATGTTTGCAAGGACAAAGGGATAAACTTCTAATAGGGTTCATAACCTGCTTGGCATGAATAATGCTACTTGACAGTGTCCAAAATCCATTTTCATGAAACATCTAAGTGATATGTGTCCATGCTTTGCACATTTCAGGATTACACATTATGAAGGTGTTGGTGTAACCCTGTCTGTGACCCATAGGCTGAAAGCCAATATTAAATAACTATTACTGTGGGCCAGTTAAATCAGTGACAGAGCGGAGTGTCCCACTCTTATGTCTGAGGAAGTGAACTTGTCCACAAAAGTTCACGTTAAAATATAGGAGTCTTTAAGTTGCCACCATGTTTTTGCCTTCTTTATTTTTTCTTTTTCTTTTGTTTTTCTCTGGTTGACTCACTAAGTCTCTACTGATTCAACGGGCTTACTTCTGTTACAATTTACTGTTGAATTTCACCCATTGTGAATATCTGTCAAACCAAAAAAGAACAAATTTCTGTCTTCCGTCTATTACCTAGAAAGCAAAACAGTAGCTATTCTCAGAGTCCCAAATGAAGTGGTGTTATCTTTGCTAGAAAATAACAGTGGATTTGTTTTAATATTATACAGTGGGATGCGGGATTGAGATCTGTGGTTTCATGTATCTGCAGTTTGCTGCAGCCCTATATGCTATTTAGAGCATGTTACCATAGTCCAGTGGTGGTGAACCTTTTTGGGCTCAAGTGCCCAAAATGGGGGGGGGGACAGTGGGTGGCGTGCTGCCGCCGCTGCGATAGCAGCAGCAATGGGCCCGGAAGACCGGAAGTGGCAGTTTAAGGGGGAACCATGCCGACGGACATGGAGAACCCCGAAGTGGCAGTGGAAAGGGGAATACCGTCTACAGCCTCCTCATGAGGTTTGGCTGCGCAGGGGGGCGGGGGAGTAGCGACCTATGGCTCGTGTGCCAGAAGAAAGGGCTCCGTGTGCCAGCTGTGGCACGGGTGCCAGAGGTTCGACATCACTGCCATAGTCTCTCGAGACTGAAGGATGCCTACAGTATGCAACATAAAAGGGTGCCATCTTGTGGCTTTTGTCCTGTCCCCTTGTGGCCTTTGTCTCACTCCCTTGTATAGGGTTCCCTCGTATCGACAATTTCAGGTATTTGCAGTAGATCAGGAGTATAGTGTGTTAGTTATTTTGTGTTTTTTTATCATGGTGTGATTAGAAGATCAGCAGAATCAATCATTCAATCTAGCAGTACCATCCTTAGTTTTCGAAAGCCCTTCTCTGACAATTCCTGTTGGACTACATTAGATAAAATACATTTTGCCCAATCCTCAAAGGCCCATGTTTCTCATTATTTGTTGGACTTCCTACCTTTTGCTGTTTTTATGGATTTTGTTTGTTTATTTCTGTTGCTGATTTACACTTTATCAGAATTCTGTCCCATGCACATTTTGTTGTAAAATGGAAATTGCAAGAGGGAGTCTGATTTTTTGGTTGATGTTGTTCCTGCGTTCAGGGGGAGCTTAGAATTTTGGTGGGGTTTTGTGATTCTAATTCTTAAAACAGTTCTGTACCATTTGAATTTGCTTTTTGGGTGCTTATAGTTCTCTAAGGATCTGATGGTGGCATTTACAGAGAGTTAGGTTTGCTAATATATTAAATAAAATAGATTAAAACACCAGACAGTTTTGGACTGTGTGATTTTCTCCCATGCAGATACAATGAAGAATTTAAAGTCAGAAACCTTGACAGTTATGATCAGTGTAACTAAACTACTGTATCAATACTGCATTTAATATGCTAGCAGCACCAGTATCTTAGATATTCAGAACATAACTTCCCCATGTTGGGGTCTAGAAGGTTGTCATATTTGAGTTGCTGGTGTTCATTGTTAGAACGAAGGCAGAAGATCACAGGTTCCATATCTAATATTTTTAGCTAAGGTTCTCTTGTAGCAAGCCTGGAAGAGACTTCTGCATGAGGCCTTGGAGAACTGCTGCCAATCAGAAAACTGTGAAGTAGTGAAACCATTGTTGAATCAATGGTTTATATATAAGGCTGCTTTATGTTTTTATAGTAGTGATAACTCAAGCATCTAATTAACTGACGCTTCAGTTCCCAAATCATTTTTGATTAGTCACATTCATTTTGATACACTTAAATCTGCAAATGCATATCTGTGTGTTAAATTACACACATGCTTTAGGAATATTGTAATGCTCTCAATAGCTGAAATAAACAGGGATCAAATTTCACTTTTACTTGTGAGATCATACTTAAAATGTTGATAATATTTTATATACTGGTATATATAAATTGGAGACCATAGAAATCCTGTTTAATAGAGAAAATCAAGTTCTTAGATTGATTTCTTTAGTCATATAGTAAAAATATTCTTAAAATATTTATTCATAGATCTGTCATGGCTTCAGTATCTTGTTACTTAGGTAGACTTACATAAATGAAAGTTTCATCCTGAGATTTAGCAGATACATAAAGAATTGTGCAAACAATTGAATAAGGAAGTAAGATTTAATAAGTAATCCTTGCTTCCGTATATGAGGCACAGAATTTATTTCATTTCCAGACACTTTTGCAGTTGTGCTGAATAGGTGGGATTCCTTCTATGATTCTCAATCTACATTTTAATGACCCTCCTTCCCTTAACTTCATGTATGCCATGCTATACTTTGCAGTCTACCACCCTGGAATGGGATGAGTACACACACATTCTTGCTCTCATATACATATACTTAGACCAGTGATGGTGAACCTTTTTGAGCCCAAGTGCCCAAACTGCAACACAAAAGCAACTTATTTATTTCGAAGTGCCAATACTGCAATTAAAACCCGAATGCTGAGGTTTTAGCTTAGAAAAAATAACAGCTCCTGCACTGCAAGGGTTAAATGCTTGTGTTCCCCCCCCCATGGGTGGTATTAACAAAGAAATACTTAGTGGTCCTCAAATCCCCCATTGGGCTAGACTGGTAATGGTCACCATTGCACCCCTCTGCTGCACCAGCAGAGGGGAGTGCCAAAATCCAGGATCGGAGGATGGGTAAGTATGTCTCGATGGCAACTTATGGCTCGTGTGCCCACAGAGGGGGCTCTGTGTGCCATCTGTGGCACACGTCCAATAGGTTCGCCGTCACTGACTTAGACTCTATGGTACTACATGCACATATGTAGTGCTCATCTGTTTAGGAGTTTTACTAGTGACTATTGCACTTATTTTAAAATATATTTTTATGAGTATATAAGTATATATGAGTATATTTTTATATCATAATAAACCTCTGGTGCCAGACGAGCAAAGAAAAGTGTGTGTGTGTGTGTGGGAAATGTACAGCCTTACTGATTGGTCTCCTGCAGGTAGTGAAGCACCCTGTTGCATCACATGAAAGTTCCATCTAGTCCATATGTCGCTTCCCAACCCAGGGTATAAGGATGATAGATTGTCATGGCTAGCGAT